GTATTAAGGTAATGTTAGGGTAATTTAACCTTAATTTTTCACCTTAATTCATTTAGGGTAATTTTACCTTAACATTTTTGGAGTGTAGGAAATATAAGAGTAAGATTAGGATCGTTGCAAGACTAAAAAGTTGCACGAATCTATCCGGCCGAAAACAAACGGTGTACCTTATCCGAAATTACTCTATGCGAAATCCACACCGGATTTAACTCAATTGAGCTTCTATTAATTACCACGTGATATCAGCTCATTCAAATTTTAAGCCATAAACTGTCTACCTAAGAAAAACCGAGACCAAAGCTTATTTCTAATTAGCTTAAAAAATCGAAGTGTTCACCATCGAAAAACCATTTAGCTTGAAAGTAAATGCAGCTCAAATAAGAACCAACACATGAGAAAATAACAATGCTGCGTTTTTTTCTGCTCATTTATGAAGTTTTCATGACTTGCGTGCTTTTCAAATGTCCAAGTATGCTTTTCATTTTTGTTCATTTTATAATCAGAAGCTCGCAAACAATCTGCGTTTTGTACCATATGAACGTGATATTTCTTTATTACTATAGGCTGAATTTTATTAGTTTTACTTAAAGGTCCAGCGGAATTTTGGCACAGTAATTAAATTGTAGAACCATAAAGTTTTTCATATCTGTTCGAATGATTGAGCAAATGCATTTTCACAGAAAAACGTTTGAGCACAGTTTGGTTTTAAATCTTTGAGTTACTCTGCAATTATATATCAGTGGTTCTTGGTCAAAAATTGTTTAAATAGTCCTGTTTTATTGAGCCGACCACAAAGTGAGCTCGAACTCCATAACTAGGTGTATTTTTCCAAAAAACAGGCGAGCCGGTCATTATTTTATGCCCTTTCTCACCTCGATGGTTTTCTTTTTAATGTTTTTTCCATTATTTCTTCTTACTTTGAATGTTAGAAAAAGTATTTCGGTCAGAAAATTCTGAGCTACTAATTGCAAAACACCCAAATTTTTTATTTACAAACTAGTCAAATAACATTTTTTGAAGCACAGTTTTCTTTAAATTGGTTGCATATTGGTTGCCATTCAGTCAGGGGCGGATTTAGGATTTTCTCGGGAGGGGGGGAACGGATTGTCAATTTTTTTTTCAGGCTGACCAAAGTGATTTTCCGCGCTCTCACAAATCGTTTTAAAGACCCTCTTTCGACCGAATTCTCTGAGAAATTTTTAAAAAAGGATAAAAATTGGCGTTTTTTGGGAAAAATTGGCGTATAGGGTCTGTCAGCCAAAAAATGAGATCTTAAAATAATATAAAATCCGCCTTCTCCTAAATCCGCTGGTGCATTCAGTTACTTTTCTCTTTAATTTTTTGGCACATTTTTTGGCAGCCAAAACTGAAAAATTAAACCTGAAAAATTCGAGTTCACGCAGTCTTCAATATTGATCAATATATCTAAAATCGAGATCCTTATATTTTCAATTACTTTTTCTTCTTGCTAAATAGCTGTAGCTGAGTTGTTATTGCGTTGCTCGAGGTCGCATTCCAAAAACTGAACATCGGACTCTCGGATTTCCAAAAGTTGCCTGGAACTAAACAAACTACGATCCTATCTGAAACTATTCTTGTTTGAGTCGTAATGGGAAATTGAGAACGAGATCATTTTCTCGACCTGGTAAGGAATTGGAGTTTATTAAGTTGATATAAGCTTTCAAAAAGATTCAAAAATCATCTAACGTTTTTTCTGCAAATGTTTGATAAATTATTAATTCCTTTTTCTCTATTGACTCCAATTCCTGCAGAGCGTCACGACACAAAAACGCAGAATAAACGACAGAAAAACCCCAGATACAACACTCATCAAAAAACTCCACCCCAGGATCCTCAAACTACGGTAGTTGAGAATGTTCTAGTCCACAGTACCAATAGTAAACATAAAAAGTCAATTTGAGTCAATTGGTATTAATTAATAAGTGCATGCCGCCTCCTTTCGACAACACAATGTTAGCTTGTTCATGCTAGGTTGTTGATAGAAAAAAAATTACCTCTTGAATTAACTTCAATTAGCAGCAGCGTGAACATCAGTCGTTAACCCCCTCCCCCCTAAAAAACACTCTTTCGAATGGGCGCTCTAAGGCACAGTCAGTAGCTAAGGAGACGACCATAAACTAATTCAGAGCATGTTTAAATTCAAAATTCTAACCCTAGAATTTTCGATAAAAAATTGAAAATTAAATATCAATTTAATTTTGAAACTAGAGATTCGGTACATTTAAGATAGTGTAACGTTTGTTGTTAAATATTATTGAAGCAACCTTACAGCCCCCACCCTCCCTAAATTGATTTAGGGGGGAGAAAATATGAATTTTTCATGAGCTAACTTTGAGAATAGCCCATATTTGACAAAATTAAAAGTATTACTAAAAAAATGGAATTCAAACAATATTTTGGTAATTAACAGCTTAACAGCATACAACTGCACTCCCGGATTTAAAATGTATAAATCAATTTTATTCGCGCACTTGTATTACATTCATATTTTATGCAGAACTGTTTTTCAGATCTAAAACATTCAGGGGGGGGGGGGCATTCTACTGTAGGGCACTTAGGGGGAGATAGTGCGGTTGATCCAAATTATTATTTCTATCACCGAATTTGAATGAAAAAAATCTACCCCAAGAATAAATATTCTGCACAGTCAAAAATTGCAACAGAAAACTTCAGGATCTAAATCAAGTCACGCGAGGATAGTTAAAGTAATCACATCAAACTTAAATTGTCTTGAAAAAATTACAATAGGAAAAAGAGCTTTTTTCGCGAGAAGTCGTTAACCTAAACAAAACTGCTCGCATATCAAAGCAAAGCCCTGAATCTACTATTACAAACTACGTTCATACGGCAGTATGCCGACAAGATCAAAGGTCAACCAGCCGAAAAAATGGTTTACTATTCCAACAAGCCAAAAACTGAAATTGTTACGCAACATAGCAACAAATAGCCCCTTTCATACAAAACTCTTATGCAAGTTCGTTTTCAAGATAGGACGTTTTGTAAATATTACTTTATGTTGAACATCTAGATTACATACATCTGACCAGGGGAGGATCGGGGATTTTCTCTAGAGGAGGCGGATTTTCAAAAAATTTTGTCAATTTTTCTTAGGTTGACTAAATTGCTTTTCCGAGGTTTCCCGAAGCACTAAAAAGACCTTTTTTGTCAGATTTTCTGAGCCGCAGGCCAGTTTTTGGAAGAAAAAAACAGGCCAAAAAGACGTTTTTATAAACTTTTTGGAACAATTTGACCAAAAAATTGCTCGTTTTTTTGGAGCGCGCTCCCCCCTCACAATAAGAATGTATTGGCGTGTGTAGAAAAATTTTAGGGTTCATCAGCAAAAAATATATATCTCAAAATAGTACAAAGGCGGCCCTTTGGGTCGGCAGGGGGCTGAATTCTTGAGGAGAAATCCCGCCCTCCTTAAATCCGCTACTGCGTCTGACTTGAATCATTCTTTCTTAAATTGCAAAGTCATTTTTCCAACTCGTACCGTCCATTTCAAGTAGATTTGATTTGCTGAAAAGAATAGCTAATGTTTACTTGCCTATCTCATCTGGTAATTTGTCACATCGAAAGTTACTATTGGTACTTGGACTAGGAACCGGTATCCCCGGCAACAATCGAGTACACCGTTGTGGAAGACAGCAGAAAACCCACCAAAACAAAGCCCGGTCAAGCGGATAATTCAGAGGGTTTGCAGAAAACTCCAAAAATCAACGAAGTCATCGGCTTAATACTCCGTTTGATGAACTTTAATATCCAATTTTTATTTAAGAAACGTATCCCATTTAAACCACGTGCTCCCATTTTCTCTCAAATAGACCATAAATACGGATAATTTTCCTCATTCTTTAGCTTGTAGTTACAACTGCTCACGCTGCGTGAATGGTAATCGATTGCCCAAAACTTTCAAATTGGATTTAATTAACCCTTTCTACCCTGGCCTCATTGAATGATGTTAACAAAATTCAACTTCCACGTAAATTAAGTGTAAGTAAACAGGTAAAAAGCCAAAATCTAGGCGAGGTGCATGCATGCTAAAAGAGGTTAAAAACTGAATACTAAAGAACCAAGAAACTGCATTTTATGAATTGTGCAGGTGTCTCAATTCAATCATTTAGGATTCCCATTACAAGGCCAAACTGTGCAGTGGATAGGCGCACAATTTTGTGCCTGTGTTCCTGGATACCTGATACAAATCTTTAAACATGTTCCAAAAAGTAAGTGGATTCCATTTACAAAGTTTCCGTGGATTCCGCATACAAATACATGTAACTTAAATTTTGAAGGCACATTTGTTGTGTCGCGGATTCCACAACAAGCGAATATAGCTAGTTGATCTAGCTTCAGCAACTGTAAGTGGAATCCGCGATTGTAATTTGAATCCGCAATATTTGTAAGCGGAATCTGCTTACAACTCATAGAAAGCACAGTTTGACCTCGTAATGCCCTTTTTGACATATTTGTCGAACCTCGGAGAATTAAGTCGGACTCATCATCGACGAAAATGTTTGAATTCTGCCACAAATTCGCAACCCAATATTTCTCCAGTTTATCCAAGAACAAAAATGGCGCAGTATCGCCATTCAGTGTGTTCGTATGTCTCTCAATGGCCAAAATGGGCGCGGGAGGCAAAACATTGAAGGAATTCATTGAAGTACTTGGCGACGATCAGGAGGAAACCAAAAGTGTTGTGAAAAAATTCGTTCACTGGGAAGACAATGAGTTCGAATTAAAGCTCGCTAATGCAATTTTTGTCAAGGACGGAATAAGGCTGATCGAAAGCTTTGAGCAGAGTTTAGATGAAAGTTTCTCGGCACTGGTTCAAAATGTTGCTCTGGGGACGATTGACGGTGAAACGGTTGTGAACGATTGGATAAGAGAGCAAACAAAAGGACTGATCGATAAAGTTATAAAAAATACAACGGGGGATGATCTGGCTATTTTAGTGAACGCGGTTTACATGAAAGGCAAATGGGTGAAGGAGTTTACGCTAAGCCGAAAGAATGAAGATTTCAGAACGTCGGCAGGTGAAATTGTTCAACCACAAATGTTGAAAAAAGAGTGCATTTTTGGTTTTTACATTGACAAAGCAAATCAGTATAAGATCGCATTTTTCGAGTACAAATTCGCTGAAAATTCGTCTGACCAATGGGAAATGGGGGTCTTACTTCCAGATCAGCAATCACAATGCAGCACTAAAATTGCTGACTTTTTGACATTCATTTCACCAGAGAACATGAAAAAGTTCACGAATTACTCGCCTGACTCAAGATTTCTGACCAAATTGCACGTGTTACTGCCTAAAGTGAAAGCTGAAGCTGAAATAGACCTCATTCCAATACTCGAAAAAATGGGAATGAGCAGTGCATTCAATTCATCAGGTGCAAACTTCTCGGAAATGCTTGCGTAAGTATCATTTTCATATCAAATCCTCCTTTTTTCAGACGACTCAGTTTAAAACTCTGTGTCCAAAAGACCGTGTCCGAAAAACCGAAAGCGTCAACCACTGTCAGAGATATGGAAGGAAAAAGGACTTAGGGTGGGTTTATGGTTTCAAGTATCTGTTAGTACTTGTTTCTCAAGTGATCAACAGTTGTATCATATTAACACTTTTTAAGTCGTGCTTCATTGTCCAAAAGATAAGCAAACAACTATTTCAGTGAGGGAAGTTTATCTGGTCGATGATGTTTTAAATACCAGTTCAATATTTTTCTGACCAATCGCTGCAAACTCAAATTACTCTAGTGAGGCTGTCTTCAAGTAAGTTTTGGCTCAGAAAGTTAAATGCAATTCGATTAGGAACAAGACAAAAAATACTTCCAATATAAATCTGTTTCTCAGTTTTTAACTCTAAGTATTATGGCTACGACTTCTTTCCTCCTCAACAGATAAAAAAAGTTTTCTTCCAACAAAAGGAGCCGAAAGAGTTTTTCCTCGAAAAATTGTGTCACGGTTTATTGAAAGGCCTAAATTTGCATAAAATTAGAATTAGTTGCTGCCAAAGAAATTAACCAAAGTTGGAACGAAATTAATTATGAAGAAGTGATAAAAATTTTTTGTTAAGTGAAGGAGTCAATTACTTATTTTTATGGCTCCCATTGAATGACTGATTTTCAGAGAAGTTTTATAAGAACTGTAGTTTTGAGAAACTGCGTCTCTAATTCCGTTCACGTTCTAACTTAACTGTAATGCAAATTAGTCCGTAGGTTTCGACGGGACGACCACGATTCACTACAACTCGAAAGTTTTAGGTTGTCGGCAATAACTTTTTAGTGTTATATTTGTGCCCCTATAGAAAACAAACCTGTAATCTTTTCTAGTTTAGATGATGTAATTGAGCTTTTTCTTGCTTGTAACGATGATTTGAATATAAATTAGTTGGTTGCACGTGTTTGGTATTTCAGTTTCGCAGTTTTCATAACTTTTACTTGCTGTGTTCTGGTTTTCTATTTCTTTTCCAGAATTTCTCTGAATGCATATGCAAATTTGAAGTCATCTAAGATGATTGCCAATTGTCAAATTGGCATATAACACTCGGCCTCATTTTGCAGTTGCAAAATGAATTAAAAAAAAGAGCTGGGGTGGTAGCTATTTAAAAAAAACGCTGGGTTAACGTTCGTGCAAGAGTCGGTTGAAGTTATCGACTATGGCTGTCGGCAGCAAGGCTGCTTTAGGATGAGGCTCTCATTGTCGTGAATAATCGTTTGTTGGGTCATTGCAATAGTCCGTGCAATAGTGGTATTGACAAAAAGTTTGTCCCTGGTTTTGACGGTGTAAATGTAAACGCGTGTCTGGGCATCATTGGTTGATTTGTTTGCTGTGATCCTTCCAATTGGCCAGAGTCCTCGTTACGTCATATCCTGACGAATCCAAACGATTTCCCCCATTTTGATACTGGCGGCGCCCATCGTTGTCGCGGCAGTAGTGTTGGTACCAGCCCCTTTGAGTTTGATGCTCTTACCACTGCATTTTTTTCACTTGCAATCAAAAAATTCCAGTTGTATTCAATTCAGTGCTAACTAAACTTGCGAAGGGGTACAAGTTCAACGGAATCAAAAAAAAATATTCAAGAAAATGAGGGTCATAAGCACTAATCACAAATCAAATCTCTCTTTCTCTCTCTTTCTCTCGTTCTCTCTCTCTCTCTCTCTCTCTCTGTCTCTCTAGAGACTCCTAACCGTCCAGTTACACTAAAGAAATTCTTAACATATAAGTGAGTTCGACCTGCTAAAATTAATAGCGTCTTTGCAAACCATCTATCTATTTTTTGAGATCAAATGTTCTCACTAATCATGAGATCCAACTAATTTCTTTCAAAATATTCGTTTTTCTTGAATGAGATTCGATCAAACAAAAGTTTTCACTGGGAAAAACCATACTAAAAAACTTCATGTGGGTACAAAAGACAAGAAACCATCAAAAAGCCGTTACCAGTAAACACCAGATTGCTGCTAATGAATGCCCGTAACATGAGCTACTTAACTAGCCGCCCATTTTTCAAGGAACTATATAATATTTTAAGCTTTTCACTTTGAATTTTTTTAAACTGTGCTGTAAAAACACGCTGTGACCGTCTTGAAGTCGATTCGTCTTCAGATTTAAGAGAAACAAATAAAATTTTACCTATTCAGTTTTTCTTAAGCTAGAAAACGTCATGCTTTTTCTGGGGAATCAACAAAGTTTTTATCAGCCTACTTCAATTTAAGTTATCCAAATCATAAGGTTGGTGAACCTTGTCGTACAAAACCACTTGTCTTCAAACAGCAGCATAATATTTTTTTTATTAGAAAAAACTGTTTTATGATAGCTTTACCAACTTGAAACAACATAAAAGAAAATGAAACACTCGCAAAACTTTTAACATACAATACAATTAATTTCAGTCTTAAGATGTTATTTCATAAGCTTCACCTTGAAGATAAAACATTGCAAGCCTAAGTAAAAATTAAATGGAAAAAAAAATATTTTAACTGACATTTAGCGAAGTTGTTATAAAGCATTTTTGTGAGTAGCAAATTTTTTTTGATTTGTTTCACAATTCGATTTTAATCTATAAGGTTTATAAGAAAGTCTTCAGTTTGTTTGTTTGATTTTAAATTTTTTATACTTTTTATTCTGTCTAGATGGTCATCTTTTGTTGTCAAAATTTTGGTTCAGAGAAAAATTTACTTCGACCAGATTCAACATCAAAATCAGCGTGTATTCAACAGATTCAACATTTGATGTATTCAGCATCAAAATCAGCGGCTGATGCTGATTCTAATCTAGCAGTTTCTGGGAGAGACTGTTAATTTAGCCTAATATTTACGGCGTTGTCATTTCAGTGTTTCTGCCTGGGTTCAGTTGAGCGCAAAATGTTTCGTTACAATAGAAAGATCCCAGTTCTATGAAGTTTAAAGCAATGATGCAGAAAATTGTCACGAGTGTATGTTTATAGCGACAACCATGGATCATTTATCTATGTTATAAAACTGAATGAGCCCATGAAATTTTTTTTTTTTTTTTTTTCATTTCGAAACAGCAAATTTTTGAAAATTCAAGTTTTTCGATATCAACCTATCCAACCAATGATAACTGACTTCAATGTTACTCAATTTTTCTACCCAGAAACAGTTTCAATTTTTTTTCACAAAATCTGATGTGGTCTTAAAATCATCTTTATTGCTTATTGTTCTGACCATTAAAATGGGAGAGGAACTTTGTATTCGGTTGTGTTTTAGTTTTAGTTTCTTTTTGTTTTCCACGCAAAATCAGGTACCACAAATAATCATCGGAATAGTTAGAGTGATATAACATATTGAAGCTCTCTCAAACGTGATTCGAACGACTTTAAAAGTTTCTGGAAAAACTGGTTTGAAGTTTTTGATATTTGGTCAAATTTCGAGCAAATGGGGTGACCGTGTACGCTTATCATAGCTTTTCCAAAATGTAGTTATACTTAAGTAAAGGTAGTTTTTGGCCTTTTGGAGAGTAACTTTGGAATTTAAATTTTCAAAAAAATTCAAAAAGATTTCTGCAAAAAACTTTTTTTTCAAATTTGTTTTCTAACTTTTTTTCTCGTTTTTCAATCTTTTTTCTTCAAAACTGTTTTACAATTGACCTATTTTACTATGACTCTCAAATATGCCTACGTTCTGTTTTTTCGTTTTGACACAACATGCAACAGATCTTTTTATTACAATATGCAGAAAAAAAAACGACACAAATATGAAATAAAAATTTTGTTTTTGTATTTTTTAAGACTGATCGGAACTATCTGTGCTATTTGCACAGTAACCGGCTAACCTTGTTAGACGTTGAAATTGTCTAATTTAGGGTAAAAGCTAGCTCTTTGTCATTTTAATCGGTTTTGGTTATTTGATTTTATTATCCTGACTTTCGGCTCAAAATAGTTAATTTATTGCACGAAGAAGATCCTGACAATTAATGCATTTGATTCTCCTTACTGATTTAATGGTTCCTACAATTCCCTAATTCAAATGTAGGAAGGCAATTTTGTTGTCATTTCAGCGTAGACGAACCAGTTCACTTCAATGAGGCCAAGCAGAGGTGTTATGTTGACATAGACGAACAAGGGACGGAAGCTGCTGCAGTGACATATATGAATATGAAGTTAATGTGCTCCAGAGAAATAGAGCCAGAACCACCAACACCATTCCACGTTCTCTTTCCATACATTTACTTCATATTCCAGCCAGCTACCGGGATCATACTGTTTGTTGGCATTGTCAACAACCCGTGTGCTGATGAAAAACAGCCACCACAGTAACTGAACTTATTGACACAAATGTAAGAAATTGTAAATGCGTATTCGATATGTAATGATCCTAATTATAACAATAATTGCTCATATGTACAGTCCTTTGTTCTTATTTTTTTATTCACGAGGAGTGATTTTTACTAATCATTGTATTATTCAGATTATTTTAGAGATGAAACGAGTTTAAAAATTAGAAGGCACATAACCCGTTTTTTGGGTGCAAGAGAAAAGCAGGTTTCTGCATTAAACGGTGGCGAATCTAACGCTACAAAAAGCGGTCGTTCCAAATAACATGTGAGAAAATATGAAAGACTGCTGGTATCAGGGCGAATCCCCGAATGTTTCGAGCGACTGCCTTTTAAGGTTTATGGAGCAGTAATAACATGAAAAAATTAAAAATATTTTTTTTCTTAAGTTGAGAATTTTTTACGAAAATCATCCCTCCACATGCCATACAAAATAAAAAGTAATAGATTTTGCTCCTATTAAGAAACCAATTAAGGCACATAAGCTAATTTCAACAAATTTGGAACGATTTGTAAGATGGATTAAACCTCCGCTTACGCGTTAATAGCGCGAAACATATCGCGCGTTAATTGTCCTAAATTGGCAAAAAGGCAATCTTTAAACCCCATTAACTTTACGAAAAATGATTACAAGTGACATATTTTTGTTCCAATTTTCGATACGAAAGTAACGGAATATTTGTGCTCGGGGTGGGTTTTTTTTCAGACAAATTTCGACTTTTTAACTAGCTATTTTTGACGAAGTTTCTGTATATCATTCAAAAGGTTTTGTTGTCTTGAGCTTAATTTTGAAAAAAAATTTCACCTGTTATCATTTTCGTAAAGTTATGGAGGTTTAGAGATTGCCACTTAGCCAATTTGGGACAATTAACGCGCGATATATTTTACGCTATTAACGCGTAAGCGCGCAGATTTAATCCGTCTTAGAAATCGTTCCTAATTGGTTGAAACAAGCTTATTTGCCATAATTGATTTGTTACAAGGAGCGAAATCTATCTTTGTGTACTTGTGGGGGTATGATCAGGGGCGGATCTAGGATTTTCTCGAGGGGGGGGGGCGGATTTCCAAAAAGTTTTCGAAAATTTTGACCTTTTTTTAGGTCGACCAAACTGAATTTCCGAGCTCTCCTAAAGCAGTAAAAATACCCTGTTTTGGCCAAATATTCTGCGCCGCGGGCAAATTTTTAAAAAACAGGTCAAAAAAGCCGCTTTTGGGCTTTTTTTGGAAAATTTTGACAAAAAAGATCGCGTTTTTTGGCGCGCACTCCCCCTCAAAGTTAGTACATTTTGGCGCCCAAGGCGCCTTTAGAAAAATTTTAGGGTCAGTCGGCCAAAAATAGATTTCTTAAAAAGTTCCAAAACGGGGACCCTTTGGGTTGGAAGGGGATTGAATTCCTGAGGAAAGGGGGCGTCCGCCCCCCGTCCCCCCTAAATCCGCCCCTGGGTATGATTATATATGGCGTTTGGAGGGATGATTTTCATAAAAATTTTCAAATTTTAGAAAAAAAATTCATTTTATTTTATTACATATAACTTTTTTTATAGGTTATTACTGCTCCATTAACATTTGAAGTCAGTCGGAACATTCAGGGCTTCGCCCTGATACGAGCAGTCTTGTTTCAAATTTTAACTCAGGACATCAATATCTTTCCAATGATGTTGAAAAATTCCGTCAAAAATGGCTTCTTAAAAAGTCGAAATTTGTCTGAAGAAAAAACCACCCCGGGTCCAAACATTCCATTACTTTTGTTACGAAAATCGGAACAAAAAAACTCCGACTTCAGAAAGACATAATAAAATAACCTTAGCGTAACCGTTACCAGACAAGATTTTTTGGGAGCGCCGGAAAGGCTTAATTTACTTTCGCCAATTGCTGCTATAGTTGCGCCAATAAGGCGAGCCAATTCTAATGGCGAGCCAGTGGGCAGATCAAGTTAACACCCCCCCCCCCCCCCCCAATAGATCAAGTTAAGATCCTCCACCCCAGCGCTTAATTTAAATTAAATTTGTTAAGCGCTCATGTAAAACGCTCGATTCACATTGGCTGAAAAATCCCATCATAGAACCAAGTTAACATCCTCCCCCCGAACGGCTTTGGGAGGGATGTTAACTTAGTCCCATTGCTCTACAATTTGGCGTATTATGTGACATGTACGAATAGGCGTTTTTGACTGGGGCTGAAACCAGTCAACAAGATTTCCTGGGCCCAGGTACACGACCTAAGTGAGCCAATAGATGTAAATGTCGCCACTCAAACTCAACAGAGACTTAACGCGACTTTGCGCAAACGGAAAACTTCGGCGCGACTTTCAGCAACCCAAAAGAATTATGTCGCGACTTTGCACCACCAAAAATTGACGTTTGCGCAACCCATGAAAAATAAGCTGATCGATGAATTTTGCGCGACAGATGTTTTTAGTGCGACTTTGTGTGACTCATGAAAGAGAAAGGGCAACTTTGCACGAACGTGATTTTTGGTGCAAACTTTAAAGAAAAGTCGCGAACTGCTTTCATACTAGGACGAACCTCCTTTCGTAGTAGGACGAACCTGATTTTCAAAAAACCTGCTTTCATAGCAGGACGACGCGTTGAACGTTCCGACTGCCCTTTAACTGAACTTCGAACTGTTAATATTAAAAATCGAGCTGTTAAAAAATGAATATCTCCAAAAAAGTGGATAAAATTTTAAGCGCGCAAAAATATGCTCAAGCGAATGATGACCCAAGTGTCCTTCTTGTAAACATCTATTATATTTTTTATTTTTCAACAAAATCTTCGTCATGATATAGGAAATTTTTCAGAAAAAATACTCGTTGGCTTACCAAAAATAGTCTAATTTCAAAACTAAACAACTGAGTAATTTTTTGTCGGAATTTGGAAGGAAAAAAATGTTTACAGCTATGAAACATAATTTATTTGAGTTTCACAGAGAGAGAGAGATAGATAGATAGAGAGAGAGAGAGAGAGAGAGAGAGAGAGAGAGAAGAGAAAGAGAGAGAGAGAGAGAGAGAAGAGAAAGAGAGAGAGAGAGAGAGAGAGAGAAGAGAGAGAGAGAGAGAGAGATTGTGTAACATTTGCCCGGAGAATACATAACTACGGAAAATAGGTTTAATCCTATAACGATTGGCCACAGTTAAGATAGAGCTTTACGAGCTTTTAACCGCCTCTACCAGAGCCAATCCAAATTTGGTCTTTCGAAAGATCGGGCCGACGAACATAATACTGCTTAAACGCTATCGGCTGAACGATGCAAATTAACTTAAATAACTGCAGAATCAGTGAGTTCATAATTGATTTTCGGCAACCCCAGACGACTAGGTCACTCCCAAAAACAGGGTTGCTACATTTTTGATAGGTTAATACTTTTTTGTTCAGTAGAACGAATCCAACCAATCCATGGGACATGGATCGACCCTTTCTTTTCACCCCAGCTCCTCATATCCTGAAATTGTTTTTGTTATTCAAATAAAAATGAGGAAATGCCCAGAGAAGTGAAAGTTATACTTCAAACAGTTTTGCAGTTCAACGACAAAAGAAGCGCCCTCTTGAAGAAACGCCCCCTTAAAGAAGCGCCCTCTTCATCATCGGGAAGTGTTGCAATTCTGATCCTTAGCTTGTCCGATTGGTAAATTGCGTTCAGTAACAGAGTACAATCACTACAAATTGAACGCTTCTTTTCCACTGGTATTCAACTAAAAAAACATGATTTTTGTCTTCTTGATAGTTGAATTCGTTTAATTTCTGACTGCGAAAATTGTATTTTTATTTTTGCGATTTCAAATTAAGTAATCTCTTCACCTACTCCAATCTTCTCTTTTTGATTCTATTTTGCACCCTTTTTTGCTGTTTTCTACCTATCGTGCACTCTTTTTCAGATACAACAAAACTTGGCCATTCTGGTTGATTGACACATGCTTCCCGTAAAGCGCTCTCAATGTCCTCATTGAGTCTATATCCAAAACTACATCATCAAAAAGGTACAGTACCATTAGAGAGAAATTTTGAGAAGTACTCAGAAGAGTAATTTTATCTGCATCAAATCAACCCACTACGTGCTGTAGCTTGCATCAGATCGTATCTCTATATCCTCCTAATATTTTCGTGAATGTGCAACATGAGGATCTACATGAGGATCTTTTCCATGAAAAAAACTCTCTTTTTTGACTTCTTGTGTCGGTTCCTGTTTTTGAATATGCTTTTCCTATGTTTTAAAAGTTGTTCGGATTCAAGACAACACTGCCAACTAACAAACTAAAACTACCTTAGAATATATTATCCTACTTGGAATGGAATCATTTTTGTTGTTGTGTGTCCTGAATATATAAACTAGGAACCTCTGTGGTTAGAAGTAACAAGGAGTTAGTCGCCCTTCTCGAAAGACTATTCAAGTTTCATCATTTCTGCACAAAAGGAACAGTGCTCTTAGTTGATTGAAAAACAATCACCCTGGCGGGAAGACTTTAGTTATACTCACTACTTAAGGCTTTGTAATTTAATATTAAGCTTTTTTAAAACAGATACAAAATCCCAGCATCTCAGAAGAGAAGCACCAGGTACTTGGCGCCGAGTATCACCATGTCTATAACAAAGAGTGGCAAAGGATCTCATCATGCGTTAGCATGATGCTCCTCTTTTTACGAAATCCTGACGCTACCAGTAGGGGTTCTCTTCCAACCTACACACGATTTCATTACGGTCTTCTATCAAATTCATTGGACACTGATTCTTTAAAATTTTGACTTTCAATTTTGCAAAAGATTCTACCAGCAATTTCCCATAAACCAATTTTCAAGTCTTGGCTCTAGTTTCCCCTTGGTCTTTTCGGTAAGTGCGTCTATTATCTTACAGAGCCACTCGTTAGATTTTTCCGACTTTTTTGCAAGTCTCACATACGTCGGCGCAGAGACGATTTGATCGGTTTAAATTCGTTGACCTTCATTGCTACAAAATGCACTAGTTATCGGCTTTTATATAGGTGAACTACGGTCGACCTCAATTCACTAAGTATCACACGGCGGCTGGTCTAGGATGTACCTCACTTTGCCTGCGGTTCTCCAATTCGATCGCTTCCCTCCATTTTG